CATATGATGTTAATGATAAAGTCTTCAAATTGTATAGAGCTGGTAATAATATATTATCTATACCAAGTACTCCCTTGTTTGAATAATAAATTATTGACTGTGAATGTGAAAGTATTGCTTTTTTGAAATTATTTGAAAAAACTTGATTAGCAGAAGTGTATGAAGTAACAGATAATTGCTTTATTTGGTTTTGTGCCATAATTAATTGATTCAGACTATCTCCAAATTTATCATTGTAGTTATTATAATATATTTTTAATGATTGAATAGATTTGCAAATATTTGCTAATTTATCAATAAATTCAATGCTACAAGTGAATGTACAATCTAATTCATTGAGATTCTGAAAGCTATCATTGAATTTATGGTAACTATTTATCCAACTCCAATTTATATTATCAGCACTAAGCTCTTTAATAACTGCTGAATGATCTAAAATAAAATTTGTTAATCTATTTTTTAAAATATCCAATCCAGAAGTTATCAACCTATTAAAATAATAATTGCCAAAAAAATAAAACCTAGTACAAAATCTAGCATAATTATATAATGGTGGTTTCTCCAATAAGCCAAAAGTTAATTTAACACTATTTTTGGTTAAGAAATCTTTTTCTTCTTCCAATAAACAATTAATTATTATCTTAATGCTGTCAGGAGAATAACATGGACTTCTCCATAAAATTGGAATACTAATGTTGTGCCATTGCTTATTGACAAGGATGAGAGAATACAATGTTTTATAATCATCTTCATTGTACTTAAATATTTCATTCAAAAGCTCAAGTGGTAAAGTCGTTAACATTTTTTTATCTTTGTAGGAAAAAAATTAATTTGTTTGTTGCACTAAAATAAAAATGGAACCAATTTAAAAATTACTATATCTTTTTATTAATTTGTCAAGACACTCACTATTTCTGTTAATCTTTTGGATCTTATTGTAAAAGGTTTTGGTCCTTCTAATTCTTCATTAGATTATCAAAAGAATTGTCACTAATATTAAAAACATTATGAATAATAATTATTGATGGTAATTTTTGATTTATAACTGCTAAAATTCTATCACCATCTATTTTTCCCACAGAAAACATAGAAACTTGAAAACCTTTTAAATTCAATACTAAAGTTCCGAATGAGCTGAGTTGGCTTGAGCTGAAGCTCGAATTTTCAAATTTGATGTTATATAAATTATTGATTCTACTATTTCATAATACCTTTATTTTAATTATGAACATTACCTAAAAAACAATTTAAGAGTCTATTTTCTTGAACTTAACTCAAGCTTGAAAATTAAAGCTTTGACTCGAGCTTACTCAACTTGGAGTTTTTATTCAAATGAAATGAATAAAAAAATGAATAAATCAGATAAAATGAATAAACAAATACAAATAAAACAAATAATTAATTAATTGAGTTGTAATTTGAATTAGCAAACAAGTGAATAATTCAAATGATTCAATAAATGAATAAAATGAATGGTTTGAATAATTCGAATTTGAATAATGTATTAAAAATAGGAACTCTAGCACAATTCAATAATAAGTTTTGCATTTGGTTAATATCTGAGTACAGTCAAATCTTGTTTTAACAATTAACTTTGCATTACAACAAATTTTAAAAAATGTATAAAATTTGTTTAAACATGGTTAGTAATTTGAACAATTTTCTTGAGTGTTCCATAATTTGTTGAAACAAAGTTTGATTGTATGCATATATTAAAAAATATTTTATTAAAAGCACAAATATTGTTAAAACATGGAATCTTGAATTGTTCTCATTTGAAATTTTTAGTAAGATAAAATTATTATTTTACATCTACAATCGTTCAATTATTTTCAATGGTCTGAAAATAATAAAATTTGAATTGGCTTGTTCGGAACTTTATCCATATCATATACTCCTATACTTGAATAATAAATTATTAATTGTGAATGTGAGAGTATTACTTTTTTGAAATCATCTGAAAAAGTATGGTAAATGGTTGAACAAATGGTAAAATATTAATAAATAAATAATTATCAGAAACAAATTATGAATTAGAGTTTCATGATTATACACATTTTATATAATTTTAATTTTAGCATTTTTATCAATCCAAGAATTAATTGCATCTAAGGTATTGTTACATTTTGGTATATCTGTACCATTGTATATTTTTGATATCATTGATTGATTTAAACCAATTTCAACTTTGGAATTTAGACAAATTTCTTTGGCAATCTGTTTTTGACTTGTAGTTGTAATATTTTTGCAATAATCTACTACAGATTTAAATCTCTCCACAAGCATCCTTCCCTCTTTTGTAAATAGTTTACACTTTCTTTTTTGCCATTCTTCACTTGGATCATCTATAATTTTTTGGTCAGTTCAAGGAAATTCTCCTATATTTATATCTTTTTAAAAAGCATGTTTTATTTTATATATCATTACACTTAAAAATAGTAAATACATTGACATGTGGTTAAAAATAATGAAGAATAAAAGCTGTTTTATTTTATATATCATTACACTTAAAAATAGTAAATACATTGACATGTGGTTAAAAATAATGAAGAATAAAAGCGAACTTAATTAATCTAATAAAAAAATTGAATGATTTGATAAACTTATGAATTAACCCCAAATCAGTCAAAATAACATTAATGAATTATTTGAAAATAGATGGAAATTGAATGGTTTGAAATACATTAATACAGTCAAACCTCGTTTCAATGAAGTGGCTGGACATATAAGAAAATTTTGTTCAAAATCTGTCAAAACGAAATTATGTTAATCACAGATTTTTATGTTTTCATAATAATCTGTTAAATGCGAATTTAATTATAATCCATTGAAATGAGGGTTCAACTGTATGAATATGTGGTTTGATTTAAAAAAAATCAAATGATTTGATAATTAATTGTAGTCAGTTGGAAAAAATAATGAATTATGAATATGTGGTTCAATTGAAAAAAATCAAATGATTTGATAATTAATTGTAGTCAGTTGGAAAAAAATAATGAATTATGAATATGTGGTTCAATTAAAAAAAATTGAATGATTTGGTAATTAATCCTTGAAAATTGGATATGTGGTTAAAAAAATAGCAAAAATTAAATGCATAAAAATTTTTTTTGGATATGTGGTTAATATGTTAATTTATTTATATAGAAATGTGGCAAAAATAAAATGCATTTAACATGAACAAACATAATAGTATTAATTTTTTTCTATATTTATTTACTATAAATATTTCATTCATCAAATGAATAAATATGGATTCGGATATTTTAATGATATTGCTGCGCAAATTTGCAGATATTTTCGAATATTCTCACAGTTTCACAAAATACTGCGCAAATTTGCAGGTATTTTTGCAGATAACTACACGATTTGTTTAGATATATAGTTGCCGAAATTTCAAATAAAATAGCAAAGTTACCCAACTTTAAACCATTATAACTTTTTTTTTAATTAAATAACTCAAAAAAAACTTTCTATTACATTATTTTTCATGTCTAGAATATTGCAAAAATAGAGAGTTTTTGGTAAAATAGCCCATATTTAATAAAGTATCAGCACTTAAAGATTGACAACATTTGATGATGTCTTTAGATGATTGCCACTATAGTCAAGTTCAATTAGTGCGAATAGTATGAATAATACAAATATGATTACTTTACACTCAACTGCATTTAAAATTTATAAAATTCTAATAAATGAAAAGATTTTATTGTCTATTCTGCATTGTCTGAATGTTTAAATAAAGTGTCATCCTCCTATATACAGAAAGATTCTTTTTATGAAATATACAGAACATATGTGACAAATAAAAATTTAACTTTGGAGTTGGTAAGCATTCCATAACTCCTGCAACCCCAAGCCTCACAAGTTTAATCGTCACATATAGATAACTGTCACGAGGATGTTACAAAAATTTGAACTATTTCCTTTTTTATATAATAAATTTCCATTTTTGGTAGGGTACTGTATATTTCAAAAAAAAGAACCTTTCTGTATATATATAGGATATTCTTTTTTATTAATATCATAATGTAAAAATTGTAAACATAAGATAATTTTCAATTTAATCATGACAAATGTTCACCCATATTTCATATAGAGTTACCAATTTAATGGATATGACTAGAATTAGAATTATATTTAGAAGCAAAAGGTATGTATAGATCTAGAATGACTTTCTGCATCATAACTAAAAAGTTTATTATGATAATATTATCTGAAAAAATTTTAACATTATAAAAACTAAGTGCAAAACATCTAATAAAAATAAAATAAAAATAAATTTGTTTAGCTTAGAATTTCTAAATCTTGATATCTTGCTATACATTGTTCAAGAGTATTATTTTGTTGCTGTGTTTTTATTGTAAAAGGTTTAACACCTTTCCAATTATTCATTAATTTTCAAATAATTCTTCATTGGGACTTTTAACCTTACAAGTAAAACTTATTGATTTCAATGTTCTTGGCACTGTTCGAAGCAATGATTGTAAAATTTGATTGCAACTGATTTTTATGGTATTACTATCATTTCTAAATTCAATACTTTCTAATTTACTGCAATTGTTAAATATTTCTATTAACTCTTGGTCTACTCCATTTCTATAATGTATTGATAATTCTATTAAATTTTTACAATATTGTGCAATTGATTCAAATTGCATCCCCAAAGATACTGGATCATTGTTTTTAATGGTTTTTCCATTGTTCTTAATAAACTTTATTGAAGATTTTAATTGAACCAAATTGGGCTGCAATACTGTTGAAACCTTATCGTTGACACATAAAAATATACAATTGATATTTGGGAGCAAAACATTTTTCAAATAATTGATTTTCTTGTTAGAAAGTGATACTGTTTTCAAATTTACAAGTGTTGGTATTAATGTCTGGTCAATATTGTTTTCTCTATTGCTTGAATAATAAATTATTGATTTTGAATGCTCCTGTGTTGCTATTTGAATTTTTTTTTGATAAAATTGTATTAACAGTAACATCATCATCTACCAACTCTTCCACATTATTATTAAAAACTATTAATTCCTCTATATTGCATTGTTCTTTGATTAGTTGAGCTAAACTATCTTCATTTTTTTTATCCCTTTGGTGTAATCTAAATCAATTGATTGAATAGATTTACAATTTAGTGCCAATTTGCCAATAAATTTAGAATAATTTACATCAGAAAATTCGCAGTCCAACTTGTAAAGTCTATTGAAACAATTGGCAAATCTATGATGATTATATACTTGATGAAGATTAATATCTAATGTGCTAGATCCTCTGATAGCAGCTGAATGATTTAAAATAAATTTTACTAATCTACTTTGTAATATATTTTCTAGTCTAGTAGAAGTGGAAGTTCAATGAGTTCTTTAAATTAATGATCATTAACACTCAGTAAACAAACTTCATTTGTGTTGAGTAACTGCTTAATTGAATTTCCATCCTAAATTAATCCATTTTTCTATAAAATGGTTTATATTTGCAATGCAGTTTTGTTTATTGTTATTGTTAAGATCCTTATTTTGGTTTTGAGGTTTTTTATTTATATTTACATTTTTTTTGTTTTTTTTGTTAGCTCTTCTTTTAATTCTATTGTCAATGCCATTTTCATTTTCCCAATTAATAAAATTGTTATTCCTTTCTTTCCATATCTGAAAGGTTTGTTAAAAATATTAGAGAGATAAAATTGTTCTTTTTGAATGTGATTTTGATGGTATCAAACTTTTTATCAGGTAGATTACTCATTAAAACATCATAATAAAGTTGTATTGGTTGATATATGTTATCAATTATTTTGTTGTATAATGATTGTGTTGAATTGTTAATTTTTTATTTTTTATGGTTTTTTTTGTTGCTTCCTCAAAAAATGTAAAGATTTTAGATTCTGATATTATATTATTTATATTATCATTGCTATTGTTATAGCATATAATTATATGTCAATGGTTTCTATTTTAGACTTACATTTGATACATATATTTGATTTGTATATTTCTGGTTTCCTTTTATTGGGAATTGATAATGTAGGTAGTAGGTTTGAGATGGTTTTTATTTTGAAAGTGATAAGGTTGCTTGTTGAAACTCCTCCAGAAATCAATCAGCAGGGTTTCTGCAGGTTACACATTAATTGTTTAATAGAGTTTTGGCAGAGTTTCACATTTTGAGGTTTCGCCATTTCAGCATAGTTTCAACAGGATTTCTGATAAGATTTAATATAGTTTTGCCATGGTTTCAGCAATTACTAAGGAGTTTCGCCACCATTATTAATACTATCTAAATCAATTTGATTAGATTCTATAAAATGATTATTATTAATGCTGATATTGAATTTTAAGAAACAACCTTAGAAAGTGAGTAAATTTTTGTTTTCCCTGTGATATTTTGAGTTGAAAGGCATCCAAAAATGTTCCCAAATCTAGAGGTGCTTCTGACATTCTTTCTATTAATCCATTTAAATATGCTTTTAGATTGTGCAATTCTTGGTGAATGACTTTAGTTTAGAGGTTGGCACCGCGCAAAAATTCTTTAACCGGTTAATTAACCATTAAAAATAAGAGTTAACCGGTTAACCGGTTAATTTTAGAAACGGTTAACCGGTTAATTTAGTCACGTGAAAAATTTTAATTGGTAAATTCAATCGTTCGTTACAAAATAATCACATTCCTGTTGAATTTCATTATTATACACTTCATAGATAGATTCTAATGGTTATGATAGGAATTTAATTGACATTTAAACTAAATTTTATTTAGTCAAAATCAATCTCACAATAAGGATTATTTCTTTTCAAAAATAAGAGCTCATTAACAAGTTTAGGTGCTAAACATGTACGCTTAGGATTTATTTGATTACCAGCATCACTGAAAAGCCTTTCAGCAGGCACAGATGTTGCTGGTATTGATAAATATTTTCTGGATATTTTTGAAAGAATTGGAAACTCACTTTTCCTTGCTTTCCACCAAGCCCAAGGATTTTCTGATTGATGTGCCAAAGGAGTTAAACGAAGATCCAAATATTTATCGACTTCAGATATCTCATCATGTTCTTCATTATCAAAAATTGATTCAAAAAAATTAGATGAATATCTTGATGTTTCTGACAAATTTGAAGAATTTTCATTTACTGAAATTTCATTTTCCTCATATTGTAGATAAATTTCTTTTAATTTTTCTATTGTGTTTTGTTTAGTGTTGTAATCAAATAAAGACAATCTTTTCAAACGAGGATCCAATATAGTTGCCAGTAAACCAAGATCTGAAGTTTTATCCCAATAATCAAATAAAGAATTATAAATTTTTCGCTGAAAATTTAATGCAACATTGTTAAGATTTGGTCTTGGTGGAATTGAAGTTCGTGATCGGGTAAAATGTTTATGAATTAATGGGTCATCATCATTGTTATTATTGTCACCATTATTGTCATCATCATCATCATCATCATCATCATCATCATCATCATCATCATCATCATTGTCATTGTCATTATCATCATTATCATCATCATTATTGTCACTGGTATCATCATCACCTAAAAACAAATTATTTAGAAATTATTATAACATATTATAATCAACAATACACACTTATATCAAATTCTTTACCATCCTGCTCTTCTCCACATGCAAACTTTACTTTTAATTTTTGTATGATTGGATACATTAATGATAAAGTGGGATATCAAGCACCAGAAAAAAAAGTTGTTGCCTCTTCAAAAGGTTTAAGAAGTGACAAAATTTTTTCTAGCAATTCCCATTCATAATTCTTCAATAATAAATATTTAAGCCTACGAGCATCAGATTTAGAATCTTTTCCAGGTTCATAAGGTAAAGTATTTGCCAACCATTCAATTGACTTTCGCAACTTCAACAATCTAACCCATGAATTATAAGATGCATTCCACCTTGTTTTAACAGCTGCCACATTTCTTAATATGTTTATATTGTTTAAATTAG